TATATATATATATATTTTTTTTTTTTTATTATATATTTTTTTTATATATATAACATTTCTGTCCCCCTCACTTCTGAAATGATGGCTACGCCCCTGTTGTCCAGTACTTCAATTTCACTTTGTACTTAAACTTCTGACTAACCTGTGGCATCTACATGATCTAAAGTGTTAGTTCAACAAAAAGACTAACCTGTGGCATCTACATGATCTAAAGTGTTAGTTCAACAAAAATACTATGTCCTCCAAAATCTCATTCATGCTAATGTTCATTTCAAACATGGCACCTCATGTCTCTATCTACATTTTTGCAAAACTCTGAAAAAATGTGCCTATACACAAAATTCACTGCAGTCTCCAGCTTAAATGAACGCCGGTGGCAGTAAAACACCAACTGCTTTTATTCATTTTTATATAAATTGTGATTACTGGGGCATATCAGTGATTAATGATTTAGATTTTTTTTTTCTTCGTGCAATTCTTTTCACAACACTGAATCATGATCTCAAAACATTTTCCCCATAGTGCACAATGTGTAAACAAGTACGTTTTCACATTTGCATCACATTACTAGCACCATATGTATGGCTTGATGCAGGAAATTTACTCAGTAGCTCACATGGTAAAGCATTCGGTTTGTGTTTGGGTACGAGTCTCGTCATTCACAAGTCAACACACACACAAAAGAAAACCCTAATAAAACATTGCCAGATTCACATCTGTTTCGGATAAAACTAAAAACACTTTTAACAGCGCTCACTGGACATCCCTCTTTGAAAGTGTTGCAAAATGTCCACACAGGCACATTTTTCCAATGAACCTGAAAAAAAATCATAATATAGCACACAAGTTTTATGGATTTTAAGGTTCTATCATCTTTTTTTGTACATTTTTGAGCACAACAGCCCTATTTACCCATGCAAGTATGGAAAAGAGCACTCTGCAGTTGTCTTTGTTCATATTCCACAGAAGGAATAATGACACGAGAATGAATAAATGGTGATGATCTGCAGATGAAATGCCTATTAACATAAATCTCTTCTGCATTTGATTTGGTCAGTGACCACTATGTCTGCAGAACTGCCACAGGACAGATTTGTCTTTTTTTTCCAATACATCACCATGCTACGAGTCCTTGCAGAGTCCTTTGAGGGCTTTTACCAGGACAGTGTCTTGATTTTGTCTTTATCTGATTCAATAAATATATTTACTTATATTATATGACACCTACACGGAAATGCTCAATAAACTGTATCAGTGACCAACAGAGCTCAAGTATTTGAATGAAATCCATTTCAGTGGTTCAATAGAGGCTGGGAGCTCTTCCTTATGTTTTTCTTTAGGATTCTGCCGAGACTGTCTTTGCTTGGCTAAAAAAGCTCCAGACAGATTGTTACTTTTGAGCGTAAATGTCTTTGTGAGAAGGAAGACAAACTGCAATTCAGTAAACGTAATAATGTGGCATTTTGTGACTCTTGAGAGCTGCTTGCATCGTAAAAGACAGCATTGCACAAACAGATTTGGTGTAGCAAGCTATATCTCAAGGCTAGGGATATCTGTATAGAATAAAGCCTTTGCAAGTATTCATCAAGTCTGCTGTGAGTGTTGCTATGAAACAAGTTGTCAGAGCCACTGGCACTGTCACATCACACACACAAGCAGATGTGTGAACATTCTCTCCAAAGACTGAGCAGCAAGGTTAACAGGTGTAGTAACCTACAACACTCAGGAGGTACCACCCCACTGACAGGGTTGGCAGATCCGCTTCCATCAGCCCTCAGCTGGGAATCTGGTGTTGACAGGCCTTGGGGAGGGTTACGCTGCACCCCACTGAAGAGAAAGCAGCATTTTCAAGAAAGAGAGACCATTTTCAAAATGTGTTTAATAGGCAGATAAGTATAGCCAGATTCTTAAAGAAATACTTAACTCTACAGTGAGAAATCTGCCATAATATACCCTTATGAACAGTAGCTCCAAACCCGATGATAAGAAAAATCACTATTCACTAAAAATATTATATTTGTGTACTTTTCTTTGCACTTCGCAATTGACAATGAGACATGTGAACCAAAGAAGTTTGATGAGTTTTTGAGGTGCCAATATGCACAAGCACAAATGTGACTTGTGCAAGTAAAACACATGCAATAAATAAATATAATAATAATAATAAATATAACTGCAAGCATCGATTACCAGGGTTCAAGCACTTTGAAGCCTTCATGGCTGTCAGGGGTCTCAGCCAACGTGAAATGTATGGCTGACACCAGAAAAGTTCCATGATGAAGAATATGATGCCACACACAAAGAGTAATGAAAAGGTTGAACTATATTACTTAACACACACTCTATAACTTAATATATACTAAGCATGCTCACACACAGAGACACAGATTATGTTGTAGATATGGATATTTGAAATAACTTACAGGTAATAAAATGCTTACTGGAAGTGTCCTGTTTATAATATTTTTCAGGTATAAAATTTTGCATGATTGTTTAGAATCATATAATGCATGAGTTTACATAGTTTTGTAATGTTTGGAGTTCCCTTTCAAGGGAACTTCGAACTGCGTCCTCTAGGGGTCACTATGGGGAAGGCCTCGTCGTGACCCGTGTCTGAAGCATACATTCAAAAACCACCAACAACATGTTGGCCGGCGACTGCCCATGACGTCACTACTGGTGCGACTATAGTATAAATAGGCGCCAGGAGAACACGTCATTCTCTTCTTCGTCTACATTGACTGTTTTGTTTGAATCGTGCATTCCGTGGTAAGAGCGATCTTTCTTCCTTCATTATGGCAAGCACTAGCAAGACGTTTAGAAGATGTGTGCATCCGTGTCGTCGTTATTTGACACCTGATGACACACATGATCTTTGCGTCTTTTGTTTGGGCAAAGAGCACGCACGCGATGTCCTCGAGGGGGCAATCTGCGTTAACTGTGAGCGTTTTTCGATGAAAGAGTTCCGCTCTCGTTTGTCTCTCTTTTCGAGGAGAGAGGGGCAGTCGTCTGCTCCCCGCGGTTCAGGACCCGCCGCTGCTGAGGCACGGAGGAGAATGAGCTCGTGGGGATCGCAGGCGGATCTGGCCGATGAGATTAAAGAGGGTCTTTCCCTCTCGCGCTCGTCGGCTGTGGACGAGAGTGAGCC